CCCCGCCGCTGGGCACCGGGATGCCGAGGATGCTCGTGGGCCAGCGGCCGGGCAGAAGCGGGGCCGGCGCTGCCCTGGGAGGGTGCACGTCCCTGCCCCGCGTGGGCTCCCGCTTCCCCGAGGGGTAACTCGTGGCCAATGTCAGTCTGCCCCATGCCGCTCGCTGTGCTTGCTGCAGATGGAAAAGGCAGGAACACCCGGGCAGCTGTGAAGGTAGTGGCCAAGATCCAAGGTGAGGGAATGCAGAAAGCACCTTTGCAATACTTGCGCAATACTTTGCAAAGCTACTTTGCAACATGAATTTTCTTTCTTTTCCTTTTGGCAAAACTATTCCACGATCTGATGCAACACTGAAAGAAACGGTATCTTAGGCCAGAAACCTGAATTTTGGCACAGAGGGAATAGGTGATCCGCTCTCTCCCTTTGTAGGCAAGCAGAAAAGAGGAAAAATTTTGAAGCCCTTCCCCCCTCCACCTCCTCATCACAGCGATAAGCATCTACCACCTAGAGAGCTGTAACTAACTATTAAGGCCTGATTAAGATGCTTTATAAAACATAACAAGCCATGAGATAGAATAAGCACATATGAAACATCTCATGAGCCACGAGCAATAATGGCCAAGGTGTTCATAACCGTCTGCGATTTCAACACCTTCCAGTAAAACCAATACTAAGCAATGCTCCTTCCCAGAAACCTCTTTTCCTCCTCCAGATACAAAAGCCTTGGGCATGATTCATTTCTGCACAACATTCTAAAATTGCTTAAACACCTTAGGACATGCAGGAAGCATGATAAATGTTTAACTCCACCACCACTGCATTTATACAGCAATCTTGTACCTGCGTTTGGGTTTTGAAAGAGTTTGGATTTGGATCACCCCACCAAAGATGACAAATAAAATTCCACGTGAACTTTACTTGTGAAACTTTGCTCCAGTTGAAATTGCAAAAGTCTAGGTACGTTACTGCACATACACGCCTATACTTCAAAACTCTATAGAGAAGCAAATGTGTACAAAGTGACTCAAAGGGGAACTTGGAAAACAACACAAGAACGAAAGCAAAGTAAGAAAACTTACAGGGACTGTAAACCGCTTAATCCTCTGATGGCCTCATTCGGTACAGTCTTCAGCTGATTGTTCTGTAGGGTTCTGTAAAAAGCCACTGTGTTAGTAAAGTGGAATTCGACAACAATCTCAATCAACAGTAGAGGTGACAAAAGAGCCTATGGTCTTGTTCTGGTTTCACAGATTTCTAGTGTACATAAAAAGTATGTGGAATTATCAAGACCAGATACCCAAAAGCTGTGATTAAACAAGAAAACAGTCTATTTCAGTTTTCTTTACAATTCATTAATTAAGAGCATTAATTTGCAGAGAACAAGCCTCTGACATAATACACTGAAATTCCCCTGGGAACTCACTGCACAAATTTGCTACGATGAATGACATTTTATTATTTTCTTGTGAAATCATCCTATATACACTACAAAATACACAAACCTCTAATTTTTCTTAAAGCCGCATCAATACACAATGCATTAACAATCTAATTTACAAAGCGTGCTCACAACAAAGCACCTCTGGGCACAACATTAAAACACACAGAACGAAACTAGAGCCAAGCCGAATTAAGTCATACCGGGGTTTTTTAAGAACTTCTCTCATGGGACAACATATTATTGCATGATGAGGTCTTTATAAGGAGAATATGAGGAACTGAGGACTCACACATTCTAAAGCCTTCTTAGGTTTTGGTGCATATTGGAGTAAAATGCAATATCTAAGCTAATATCTAAGCCACAAATTTTTCAAGAACTGCTAGAATTTCAGGCACCTCCAGTGCGGAGTATCCTAAGGAGATACCTTCAAGAGCCTTGATGCTCTGCATTCAATATACAGTTGAGTAGTAATGCACATGGGCAGTTTCCTAATCTCTGCACTGCTTATGCTGTCTGTTTATGTTCCTTTCTTTAAAACTTCAGGTTCCTTTTCCCCTGCTTTTTAAATACCTTTTAATTAACCATCTATCTACCACCCTACTAGCAATTAAGAGCACCATAAACACTACAATTTCTGGACGCAGGTTTTGAAATCCCGAACAACAGAAAGCTCTTTTTACCCTCAGGTATGGAAAAACAATTGAAATGAATATTCTTATCACAGAAAGGAAAACAGGATATGGGAAAATAAGGCACACAATTCTCATTTTTTTAAAAGGAAAACTTCTTTTCCTAATAGTTAAGTTATTTTCACCCAAAGAAGCATCAAGCAACAGAAATTATTCCTGTCACTGGTAGGGCATAACTCAAAATTTAAACAGTGTTTTAAATGTCTGTAAGTACTAGCGCTACCTGATAACATCGAGGCACCTGATGGAGTAAGCTGAGGGGGTGGAGAACAAAAGAAACTTTACATGTCCTTTTTAGGATTTTTCCTTCTTAGGAGTCTTCTGCGACAAGATATACTTCACAAGCAAGTAAGTGTTCTAATTAAACATCATAATTACAATTAAGTTCATTGCTCATCATTACCACTTACAGCAGACTTTATAAAAAAGGGGGAAAAAAAGTCAGAGAGGTGTAATTGGGCGTGGGGGGCAAAAAAATTTTCCTCCAGCCTACCAGTGCACTAAAAAAGCATACAGCTAGCTATGAAGCTCTAAAACCCGATTACTTACAGAACTTTGAGTTCTTTCAACCCAGACAAGGCCTTTGGATGGATAAAAGAAAGGTCATTGCCAGCCAGTCGCCTGGAAAAAAATTGCAATAATAATTTCAGTCACAAAATACAGTACTTCTACTACAACCATCTCACAAGGAAAATCACCACCACATCAAATCTTGCAAGCAATTACGCATTTTGCATTCCATTAGGCCACATTCGTGATCTTTCAAGTTTGCAACACTTATTTTAGTCATTGCCCATTTTTAACAATGAGAATGCATTACTTAGCCTCATGGATATAGGTTTGCAAACATGCCAGGAAAAAAACCACCAGAACGATAAAATTCTTACGGTACTAGGCTTGAAAAGCGCATTTATCAATTATTAATGTGATCCTCTGGTTTTCAGCATCACTCTGCTGAAACGCATGCTCTGGTACCCACGGGGTTTTAATCTAGACAGCACTTTCTAAAGAAACTCTGCAGTTAAGTAAAAATAGCTAGATGCTAGTGCGAGGCAGGGAAAAGTTTCTACAAGAATTCCAAATGTGAAGACGGTATTTGCAAGCAGGCGATATGTTCACCGTTGGCAGGTGACAGAAGGCCTGCTGATACTACCAAGACGTAATCTTGGTAATATTTCATCTTTTTGGTCAGCTATTTGGACAAACTTTTCAGGAAAGAAAAATGGTTTTGGGGAGGGACAAAGGGACCAGAATCATCAGCCATACTCAGTCTCTCCCAAGATGTGACCAGTTTCAAACTTGGACTGCTAGACAGTAACACAAAGTAAATTAAGGAAAACACCATGATATTAAAAGTAATAAATACAGGACATGCTGCAGAACACAAAGCAAAAAAAGCAGAAACAGCAGCCAAAACAGCTGCTTTCAAATAGCTCCTTCTCCCCTCCCCCTGTTCCTTTTTTTCTTCAACCTTTTTACCTCTATCCTGACCAGCAGACCCTGTGTGGTCCAACCTTAGTGGAGCTCCTAATAGTTGTGACACAAGGTATTTTATTAAGGGTAAAAGACAATAATGGGGAACACCTGGTAATTCAAAAGCTGCCATCTTTTCAGCCAAAGTATTCGCTTTCAGACTTGGTTTCATATCCAAGCTACGCAAAAGCAACGTCAGAGAAGATTGTACAATGAAATCATCTGGTGGAAACACTGTTTACCATGCAGTAAGTGTTAATAATAAAAACAGTTGATGTGCTTCAGCAAAGATTACAGAGTATCAAAAGCCACCTCTGCTGTACAGGGCACTGTGACCCAAGCCAGCCACACCAAGGGGAAAACAGTATTTCAAAGAGACAAAGGACAGAAGTAACAAGAGCATCATCTAAGGTATCAGCTTGCCAGAACATTACTGCATTTTTATCTCAGTCTCTATTTCTAACTACGTGAAAGCGATTACCCAAAGCATTTGATGCCTACCTAAAGCTGCTTGTAACACAATCAATGACTTAATAAAATGCTGCCTGACAGAGAGGATGCTAGTTACATTTATCAAACCCATTTGTCAAAGGTAGAGGGTTTTATTTATAAAAGAAGCAAGAGGAGTACAGCTTCTGAGGAACAGTAAGGTGACAGTAGCAACAGATACCACTTGGTTTTAGATAACTGTTACCAAAAAAAAACTCAACCCACAAAAAAAAACCAAACCAAAAAAACCCCACACCCCAAAAAACCATCTCCTGGCTGCTGAGAAAAGTTTATCTGAGTGGCTTACGTATAACCGAACAGCTCTGAATCCAGAAGCAAAGAAAAAAAAGAATCAGTGTATAATTGCCTCCTGTCTGTAAACAACCTCAGGATGTCGGAACTGTGACATGATTTTTCAAATACTTTGAATTTTTATCATGAATGAAAAATTCCAGACTGCAACTAAACACTCCCCTAAAATTCATTTTGTTGTCAGAAGCTGCCCAAGTCAACTGTATTAACTTTATCCGGGGGGATGTGGAGGGAAGTTTGCAATACTTCATGGCTTTCTTTTTAACAATTTCCCAAGAATTATGCTGCAAACAGAAAGCAGGATTTGTAAAACTTGCTGGGTCCCACATCAGAGAGCCAGTGATCTGCGAAACATATGTGTATCTTAAAAAGCATTCAAAACATCAAAATATAGTCCTTAAACCAAGCAAAATTTAACTGAGGCTATAGCACCGAGTTATTCTGGCACTCAAGCCCTACCAGTTGATGTTGGTTACACGCTTCAAGAAGCAGCAGCCCTGGTGCGTGTGTGTCGGGCAGCTCTGCCTCAGCTCTGCTGGGCTTCCCCGTTAACGGGGCTGGTGTGCAGCTTGTCAGGCATCTGCTCCAGCTTCTCCTTTCCTTCCAAGAGGCTGAGGATTATGATTTGTTTTTTAAAAAAGCTAAAACTCAAGCCAGTTGAATAGCCTGCCCCAGCCTTGCCGAGTGTCACTAAGACAACCTACAGAGCACTGGAAACGAAATACAGCTGAGCCAGAGCACGGCTTGCGTGACTTCAGATAGACAGACTTCACCTACCTCAAGGCAGCTTGTGTTTATTCAGCCTTTCTGCAACCAACCAACAGAAAAAAGAAGAAAAGAAAACAAACAAAACCCCCAAACCCCTTGCACTCCAATACATTTCCGTTTCTCCTCCATCTGGCAACCTTCCAGGAAACAGGATACAACTAGCCAAGTGTGCAAAGGCTTTACTAATCAGATTGCCAAATACACATTTATCATTCACGTCCTAGCCCTGGGGAGCGTGGCTGCTCATTAGGAGGTTTTAACTGCAGCTCTCCAGCAGGCAAAGACCAAGGTATCGTACGCCACTCTCAACACGCTTCCCTCTGCTGCAGCACGCAGCTGCTGGAAGGATGCAAAGACTTCTCTACATAACCAGGTTCATTTTAAAGAGAGAAATGAAAAATTAATAGCATATAATATAGCGCACATACAGTATAGAGATTAAAACATCACTGAAATTATCCAGTTGGGTTTTTCTACATACTATCTCCCTTCCAGCATGTCTCAAAAATAGTTTCATTCCATTTTTCAAATATAATGTTTAAAATAATTAAGTATTTTAAAAGCACCTCTGCTTTTCTCTCTCTCACACACACGGTAAATGGGCTAAGGAAATCACAGCTTTCCCAAGGCCCAGACTCCAGCACAACAGAGAGGAAGGAAGCTTCATCTCCTTGCAACAAGATTCACTGAACTCCTTGGGACCAGCCCATGGTGGGACCACTGCACACAGCTACAAAGCTCCCTGAAGGCAGCCCTGCCTTAGTGCTGTTGAGACTCCCTTCATTCTGAGGGAAAACAGCCTCAGAGACCTGGCATGCAAGCCCATCTATTGATCCTGAGTCAAAGCACATTGCCCTTAGAGCTCTTTCTCCAAAAGGCAAAGGACTGTAAAAGATTCCTCCATCAAGACAGTAAAGACTTGGTTTCATAGATGACTGTGAAGTTCCTTGCTTTGCTACAGGCTACAAAAACTTTATTTGCTGTCTTTTACTTCTCAAGGCACACCAACACAGCAGCAGGCATTGTCTCAAGTGCGGTGGAAATGTGCAGCACACCGCCTGAGAGTTTCCCTGCTAATGCAGTCACCACATCCCTTGTTTGGAAACTCTACCCAGGACTGCAGTTATCCGGAATTTGTTCTGTTCCAGCTCAGACCAGGAAGGTGAATTACACCTTGGAGGTTTCTGCAGTGGAATCGCAGTTGTAATGTGTGACCACATTAGCATCTCTCTTCTAGGTTGGCAATTTCCTTGCAATTGCAGTCCCCTACCTTAAAAAATAAAAATTGAGGATCTCAAGGGCATAAAATTTCTCCAGATTTGGACAAATTCAAATAGACAAAATCAATCTGAGCATAGCAGGATAACAGAGCAGGACATTTGGAGGACAAAATACTTCTGCTATTCTATAGGTGAACAATACCCTTTAATCATTATTTTAAATGACACAGTAAATGATGTCCAGATGTAGAGGATACCTTGTTGTTATTACAGAAATCAGGACACAAGCTGTCTGGTGAATAAACTTCCATGATACCTCATTCTCAGAGCACGCAACAAGCACAGCTTCTTGCACTGAATCTCTTCTGAAAGCAGCAAAGGCCGTTTTCTCTCTTTTGGGAAATTAGAACTTCTGCAATGACGAGTCTGGCAACCTGGCTGTATGTTAACCAAGCCAAATTAATCACGAGTGTCACTCCAAAATCAGGAAAGATGTCCCAGGGACATATTTTTGTCTGTAACAGTTAAAACCACCACTCTCTTTTTGACAGGATGCAATATAAACTTCTGGGAAACCTCTCTGCTTGCCTTGCAAGCCAGATGGTGATGAACCTCAGGTTACGTGAGCAAAGAATTAGGTCTCCTTCTGTCCTTCTGAAGACATCACGCACATAAAAAGAAGTGAGTTTGCTGTGAGGTTGGGTTTTTTCCCCTCTTGATACTCTGGAATACTTCTAACTTTACCTGTCCACCTTGTCTCTGGTAAGAAAACATTGGCTACTTTTTTCATGGATCAACTGTAATCTTCCTTCGTCACTGAAAATTCAAATAGTGACACAGACTGAAATCCTGACATGTCATTATAAATCACCTGATTTATATATTTTTTTATTTTATATTACTTGCTTTCTGGTAAGACCCAAGACTCCTAATTCAAGATCTAGACAAAGCTAAACCTTCTACATCCCTTACAGACCATCCATCACTGCCCATCTATCCACTCAACATTTCCATTTAGCTCTCCCAACTTCTATTTACCTACTTTCCTTCCATTGGAAAAGAGGCTGTTGGACTTGCACTTTTGCAATTTCTTTACTTTTTCGCTCTTTCATCAAACTCTTCTGCCATCCTTACACGCCTGTCCCTAACACTAGCCTTTTCAGGGCTCGCTGTGCTTCCCACACACACTTCAGCTTTTGCCTCATGTTCTCCTGCCACAAAAGCAACCTCTGAAAACACCTTACAGATACACTTGCTGGGTAATCATGGATTAAATTTTCTCAAGCTTCAGAGTTTCAGGTTCAACTTATTTCAGAAAAGCTGCCACTTTGGAAGGGAATTCAGTTTTCTTAATGGATG